AATAACTCAAAGAGGCTGGATGCGATGGCTCTCGCCTGTAATCCCAGTGCTTTGGGAAGTTCAGATGGGATGATTGCCTGAGGCCGAGAGTTGGAAAACAGCCTGGGAAACATAATGAGATCCTGTCTCTACAAAAAATAGAAAAGAAATGAGCCAGGTATGGTGGTATGAGCCTGTAGTCCCAGCTACCCAGGACGCTAAGGTGGGACTACAGGATCACTTGAGCTGGGAAGTTTGAGTCTGCGGTGAGCTGTGATTGTGCCACTGCACTTCAGCCTGGACAACAGAGCAAGATCCTGTCAAAAACGAACAAACAAACAAACAGACCAGGCGCGGCGGCTCACACCTGTAATCCTAGCACTTTGGGAAGCCGAGGTGGGCAGATCACTAGGTCGTGAGTTCGAGACCACACCTGACCAGCGAAACCCTGTCTCTACTAAAAATACAAAAATTAGCTAGGCATGGTGGCACGTGCCTGTAATTCCAGCTCCTCAGGAGGCTGAGACAAGAGAATTGCTTGAACCTGGGAAATGGAGGTTGCAGTGGGCTTAGATGGTGCATCGCCTGGGTGACAGAGTGAGACTATCAGGGAGGAAGGAAGGAAGGAAGGAAGGAGAAAAGAAAAGAGAGAAATACACACACACACACGGGGGGGGGGGAGAGAAACCAGAGAGAGAGAAAGAAACAAAAGCAAAGAGAAATTGAGGGGGAGAAAATTAGAGAGACAGAGAAGGCTCAGGAAAAGTTCTGCAGAGGAATGAGAGAAGGCAGGCAAGTGAGACCCAGAGACAGAGGCTGCACCAGCCTGATGTTCTTGGGCGCCCACAGACCACCCTCCCTCCAGCCAGGGCCACGGCTGAGCCTGGTGTACACAGGTATCAATTAACAATTGCCAAACAGTTCCCAGAAGACTGGAGAACCCTAGATGTGGAGAGAAGAGACAAAGAGGGAAGAATAGCTAGGGGTAGGAAACGGTTTTTTTAATTTGTTTTAAATTAGAGACGGGTCTCTACTGCCCAGGCTGGCATGCAGCAGCACCATCATAGCTCACTGCAAACTCCTGGGCCCAAGTGATCCTCCCATTTCAGCCTTCTGGACGCCTTCAGCTGGGACTACAGGCATGTGACACCATGTCTGGCTGCATTTTAAATTTTTTTGTAGAGACAAGGTCTCCTTATGTTGCCAACGCTGGCCTTGAATTCCTGATCCTTTTGCCTCAAGCTCCCAATGTGCTGAGATTAGAAGCGTGAGCCACTGTGCCCATTAGGGACTTTTTTTTTTTTTTTGTCTGAGACGGAGTTTCACTCAGTTACCCAGTTGCCCAGGCTGGAGTGCAGTGGCGCCATCTTGGCTCACTACAACCTCTGCCTCTTGGGTTCAAGCAACTCTCCTGCCTCAGCCTCCCAAGTAGCTGGGATTACAGGCTCCCACCACCACGCCCGCCTAATTTTTACTAGAGACGGTTCACCATGTTGGCCAGGCTGGTCTCAAACTCCTGATCTCGGGTAATCCACCCACCTCCGCCTCCCAAAGTGCTGGGATTACAGGTGTGAGCCACTGTGCCTGGTAGGGCTTTTTAATTTATATAAGCAACTGATTGAACACCTACTCTACCCAGCCCCTATCCCTGCGACTTAACTGTATTCGCTCATAGAGTCAGAGGTGGGGCCTGAGAGGAGGTGCAGAGTGAGAACCAGCTGCATGGACCCTATAGCTGAGTTGCCTGGGTCTAAATCCTGGCCTCAGTAATGAGTAGCTGTGCAACCTCGGCCAAATTACTCAGCCTCTCTGTCTGCCTATCTATAAAACGGAGCTAGTAATCGAATTGCAGCTGCTTCACAATGTTGTAGTGAGTTCAGTGAAATTATAAGTGCTGGTACATATGCATGCTTGTGAGTCTTAGCTGTTATGGTTATTCTCATGTTTATCATTACTGAGTGATGTCAGACAGTCACACAGAGACAGGTGACAGCCAGATGTTCCCCAGGCCCTTCAGTCTGTGTCCTTGACCCGCTGCTGCTTCCTAGGAGCCCTTGTGGACCCCATCTTCTTCTTCCATTCCATCACCGCCAACATCATCTGCTCCATCGTCTTTGGAAAACGCTTTGACTACCAAGACAAAGAGTTCCTGAAACTGCTGCACTTGTTCTACCAGTCTTTTTCACTTGTCAGCTCTTTATTCAGCCAGGTCAGAGAGAGGGAGAGGGAGGGTGGGGGCGAGGTGAACATCCAGGGCATGCAATAAAAGGAGGCCCAGAAATGCAGCTTACAGATGGAAGACAGGCAGAGGCCACATGGAGAGGCGGGGACATGGAGACCTGGAGGGAGGGGAGATGGTGAGACAGGGATGGAGGGAATGGGCATGATAGGGAGGCAGACATGGAGTCAGAGACTGAGAGAAGGAAGCTGAGCAAAACAAGACAAAGAAGGGCAGAGATAAAGGGATCCTGAGAGACAGAGCTGATGAGAATGAGTGTGAAAGGCAGAGGGAGAGAGACAGAGAATGCACCAGGCATTGGGCTTGGTCTCTAGTCTGCTCCGGGATGTCATTCTGTTTTGTTTTGTTTGAGACGGAGTCTCTCTCTCGTCCAGGCTGGAGTGCAGCGGTGCCATCTCCGGTCACTGCAACCTCCGCCTCCTGGGTTCAAGCGATTCACCTGCCTCAGCCTCCTCAGTAGCTGGGACTGCAGGCTTGTGCCACCACACCCGCTCGGCTAATTTTTGTATTTTTAGTAGAGAGGGGGCGTGGCCATGTTGGCCAGGCTGGTCTTGAACTCCTAACCTCAAGTGATCTGCCCGCCTCAGCCTCCCAAAGTGCTGGGATTACAGGCGTGAGCCACTGTGCCCAGCCTGCTCCTGGTTCTTCTGTATCCTTGCTTCTCTGTCTTTGGTAAAGCTCCTCACCTGAAGAAATTCAAGGACACATGACAATAAGGGACAACATTTCTTCGTTTTCTCCCATTTCTCCTTCTCCCTCTTTTTTTTTTTTTTTT